GTCATTGTACAATATGCTAAATGTTGCATAAAGTGCTAGCAATAGGCTTTTAGTGGTATCAAGCATCACTAACATTTTGCAAATAGGCCTGTAACATTTTTTCCTTTATAACTTGGTAATTTTCCAGATTACAAGTGAAACCAACATCATCATTCCAAGGTTGACCCAAGACTTCTTGGCCTGCCCACTATTGGGTGTTAAATGTCTATCTTATATATCTGTGAATATTTCTTGTAGACTTCTCTTTATGTCTTGAATTAATATAAAAGTTCACTTCCATCTATTCGATAGATGACAAGATATGAGAGAAGAGATGTTTTAAGGTTTACTTTAGATATTTAATATTTGTAGGAAGATTCGATTCTGTATACTTAGATATTTCTTATTTTTCTGAAAAATTTCTCCAAAATTACCTTTGTTTTTGTTATATACACCAGAAAGCTTAATAAAACTGTCAAGTATATAAATTGGATTTTTAACTGGAAAATTAAAATTTGCGTTCTTTATATGTCACCATTTTAAAAAAAGGCTACAGCCTGGAAGAAAATAAATGCAAATCAGAATTTAATAAAGGACTTGTATGCAGGAAGATACAAGGATTTCTCAAAACTTAAGAAAACAACTCATTTAAAATATGGACACAAATTTTGAATAGACACTTCCAAAAGAAGGCACATAGATGGCAATTAGGTACATAGAGCCGTTGTCATTAGCCATTACAGCAACGGGAATTAAAATTTCAATGTGGTATCACTGCATACCTAGTATAATGGCTGTCAAATAAATAAGAATAAAATTAATGATGTCAATGCTTCCAGAGATGTGGAGCAACTTGAACTCTCACACACTTCTGGTGCCAATAAAAAAAAAAAAAAAACGCACAGCCACTTTGGAAAACAATTTGATAGTTTCTTACCAAGCTCAATATAGGTATATCATACAGCTCAGTAATCCCACTCCTAAGTATTTACCTATGTGAAATAAAAACTTGTGTCCACAGAAAACCTCTATGATAACTTCTTGATATAAGTTTTAACTGTCAAAAACTGGAAACATCTGAAACGCTTTTCAACTCTTGAATAGATAAAAACAAAAAACTGCGATATAGTCTTTCAAGTGGAATACTAATGATAAAAAGGAAAAAACTACTCATAAAAACAGCAAAATGGAGGGATCTTTAATGCATTATGCTAAATGAAAAAAAGACAAACTCAAAAGGCTACATACTATATGATTTTATTGATAGCATACACTGAAAAAGGCAAAACTGAAAGAAAAAAAAATCATTGGATGCTAGGGACTGAAAATGGGGTAGGGATGGGAGGGAGAAGTTTTTACTACTGTGGTAACTATCTACTTCTTATAACAAGTTAGGAGCTTAAAACAAGAAACATTTATTATCTCATAGTTTCTGTGGGTTAGAAATTGGGGCATAGTTTAGATGAATGTCTCTGGCTCAAGTTCTTTCATGAGGTTGCAGCTAATCGGTTCAGCTCTTTGCAGACTGCAGTGTCATTGGATGGCTCAAATGAAAAAGGATCTGCATCTAGGCTCTCTTACATGGTTGTTGGCAAAATTCAGTTCTTCATGGGGCTTGGAATGATGATCTTAGTTCCTTGTTGGCTGGTTAGCCCAGTTCCCTGACATATGTACTTCTTCAAAGGAAGCTCATAACAAGGTAGCCAGCTTTAGTGTTTGGGTGTAAGAGAGAACACCCAAGACACAAGCTACTGTCTTATTAAAACCTAGTATCAGCAGTGACATCCCATCATCTTTGTTAAATTTCTATTTACTAGAAGAAAGTCACTAAATCTAGCTCACATTCAGAGGCAGGAGATTATAAAAGGCATGAATACTATTTGACGGGAATCACTAGGAGCAATTCTGGAGGCTGCCTGGCCTAGTTAGCCCTCTGGACCTCAGTGATTCATATTTATCCCACATTTAAAGGACACTCACTTCTTTTCTGTTTCCAAAAGTTTCATCCCACTGCATTATTAGTTCAAAGTCCTGAACTTGACTGATCTGAAGCAGGGAGCCATCTTGAAGTCTGACTACCACAACTACAAAATAGGGTGGGGGAACTCTTTGGGGTAATAAATTGCTCTGCACCTAGGTTGTAATAATCATTAAAAGCTGTATTTGTTAAAAAATGTATAGAACTGAACATTAAAAGAAGATGGACTTTGTTGCATATAAGTTACATCTTCATAAAAAAATTGAAAAAGAAACAAATATGCAACACAGACACACACACACACACACACACATTACAGTAAATATTGGTCAAATAAATGGAGGAAGTGTTGACCAATATATTAATAAAATGTACAGAATTACATTTGGCACTAGAAAGCAGCATAATCATTTCCAGTTATATCATTGAAAAGTTATAATAACATCATATACATGTATTAATATAATCTTTAATTTTCTTATAGAAAAAGAAAAATATTGAACAGAATGTATAATTATATGAAGTATTTCACAGAGAAAAGCTTATTCTAAATATTATCTTTTTTTCCTCCTTAGTATTTGTTTTCATTTCTTAGAACAGTCAATTCATCAATTCAAGTATTAGGGAAGATGATCATATAAATGTACCGTTTACTTTTTCTCATTTTGTTCATAAAAGAACTACTAGAATGATTTTCTGTAAAATGCATTTTTATAACCACTTTTGGAGATAATTTACCTCCAGTAAGCTGAATATTGACTGGGAAACGAACTCAGTATTCCTTCTTGTTTTTACCCGTTCTGAAAAGTGACAGAGGTGAGACAGTAGAATCCTGTCATGGTGCCCTGTTTGTACAGCTGCACCTCATTGAATGAGGCTTGTGTTACACACAGTTTGTGATAGGAAGTAAATGCTTTTGAAACAACTAAAGAGACAGATCTTTAACCTCCACCTTTGTGGATTCTTCATTTCACCGTTTAGCTTCTGTAAGGTTACAAGGAAGTGGCTCCCAATATACATTACAACTCTCTAATGGAGTCTCATCTGATTAGCTCATCCCCTTATTAACTCATTTTATGGATGCATTAGAATGAATTTTTAAAAAACAAATCCTGACAGATCAAAAAAATAGACAATGTATTGATTTTTAATGAAAGTATTTAAGTCATAAGTTATAAAATGTTAAGCAATGGGTATGCTCTAATGAGAAAATGGTGCTTAGATTACTCAAGACCTCTATGTGTTAGCAGTTTTTAAACTTCAGGGAATTCATCAAATTTATTACCTCTTAATCAATGTCCACTTAACATCTGAAGATATAAAGTGTCACAAGGGTCTTTGTATATTTCTCATGTATAGCTATGAGGCTTATCACTAAACCAGATTAGGTTCTATGTTATTTCAAAGATTATGACTGGATATTTTTAAAGGTCATTACAGTAAAGTAGTTCTCTTTCGTGTTAGAACAGTTTCCTTAATTGCTAGTGTAGAAATACAGTGTCATTCCTAGAAATGATTAAAATAATTAAAACACCGACCTATTGCGATCAAAGTTACTTATCTGCTGATGATTTATGACAATACTTGTTCAACTGGAAAATACATGACTTTTAATAGAAATGACATTTGATATCTGTTCATAATAAGACTAACCATAATTCTGTTCAAAATATTCCTAATTATACAGAATTAAGTCCTTCTTATATCTATGAGCTATAATTTGTTTACCAAGACCTTTTTCCTTTTGCAATTTTGTTTGGTAACTCTATACAAACATTGTTCAGAGTACTTTCATTTTTGAAAGCAATGGCCAAATATTTGCCCAGACTGAATAGAATATATATGAACATGATTTTCATAAAAACTTCTAAAATTATTCTTCTATGTACCATACATTTTAACTATCAGTATATGGCAACTGCAAAGACAATTGACCTGGTATTTGCAGTTCTAGGTTCACTGTTTAGTTCCTATAAATCCAAGCCTAAAAGATTTATTTTCTAATCTCCACAGGCAAGGATCTGATGATCATGCCACATAGCTAATTCCGTCTCCTGGATTTGTAGCAAAAGACTAAACATAATTTAGTTTAGCTAAGAGCATTATATATATTTTTAAAAATGAATAGACTGTAATGTGACATTGTTATCTATAATTTTGTTAGGAAGTGAAAGATGTCAATAAAATTGTAAAAATGTGGGCAGAATAAAAAACCACTTGTCTGTTTCAGTGACATAGGGGATCAACGCAGTGTTATATTTGTTGTAAAAATCAAAAAAGAAACAAGCCACTCTTTGGCGTCTGTATGAGTTGCCAAGATGGTATGAGAGCAATCTGTACACTGCTTAATAAAAATAAACAATCATTTCCTTTCTGTGAACACAAAAACTACATGGGAAAATTTAGAAAGGGTATAGTATTTTGGTAAGGTATAGGAAAACCATAGGCAACTGTTAGCTAATATAGTTTTATAAATAAAAGAATACCTGACATCTTAGTACAAACCATTACTATGCTATGCTTTGCTTCTTATTCCAACAGACAGATTTTGAGACTTCTCAGAAAGCCATGAGGAAACAATTTCATTAATATTTTATTCCAAAATTTACATACCAATTTCTCCCTTAAGACAATTTTTCTTTAGTTAGAAATATGTTATCACATACTGAAAAAATCATCACTATTCATTAAGCGGATTGTCACAACATTACCAGCTAGCTTTTGTAATCTGTCATATTATAATATGTTAGCAAAGTGTAAATTTTGGAATTAATGTCAGTTTGCTGGAGGCATTTAATTATAACCCATAAACTATACATATTTATTGGTCTATGCTTCCATTTTTTATTTATTTGTAATTTATACAGTCTCTGGTTCCAAAAATTATTTCAGGCGGCATATTTTAATTATAATTGTATTGGCCAGCTGTTACAGAGATGTTCCAGATTTTTCTTCCTCACTCAACAGTGCAGCATGCATAACTGAAAATGGAAGTTGCTTTATTCTTATTCTCAGGGCTCATTGCAAATTATGTGTTTTGCAGAAGTTAATATTATGTGGGCCGGACACCAAACACATCATAGTTCTGAAGACTATAACTTATCCACAGCACTGAGACAGTCTGTCTTCCAGAATTATACTTCCTGGGTAAGTTGTATGAAATGGAATAAACATGGTCGTCTTACTTGTTTTTAAGTCTCAGCTAATTCTATTCCCTCAAAACAAAACAAAACAAAACAAAACAAAACAAAACAACAACAACAACAACAACAACAAACCCCAGAAACCTCATAGGAGGTGTTTTACTAAAATGCTTCTTTCTTCTAAGGCCACATGCTAAAATCTTTCTTTTCCTTTTGTAAGGCCAGACACTCATGAAACAAATGCTGTTTTCCAACAGAAGTATTTTGTTTGACCTAGAAATTCAACTTAATGCATACAACAATGGTGACTGTTTTTTAATTTACTATAACCCAGGAGCGGGATGGATAGATAAGGTATCTCCATTCAAACATAAGTAAACAAAGATTTCAGTGGAAACTTAAAAAAATTTTTTTAATGTAATTCTCTAAAATCTACTTGAATATTTTGCTTTTTGTTAGCATATTAGATAAATATCATTCTCAAAAAATGTTTGGCCCTAAAATATTCTCACACAAGGAAATGACAAGATTAATGAATACGAGAAAAATCTTCTACTTGTAAAGTGCTTTTGTCTCTTGGGGCAACCCTGATCTACTTGGTAACATCTCTTTTTTTTTTTGTCAACATCCTGGCTTAGCTCTTTTTGGCTTTGAAAATACATGATACTGAAATGTATGTTGAACAGTGAGCTAGAAAGTCAGAGTAACTGATGTATAAAATCAGTAATCATGCATACTTAATATTGGCATGTAAAGTCAATAAGCTATTTCTTAGCTATAAATTATAATAATGAAACATTTGCAAAATGTTCAAAATACTTTGTAAAGTACTTTTGTTAGATGCTATTTAATGAGTACATTCTATGTGCCAGTCTTCTAAGCTCTCTTTATATATTGACTTACTTCATTTCCACAACAGCCTTCATACACAGGAAGTATTATGGCTCTTATTTTAAAATAGTAGAGTTGAGTCTGTAGTTCAGTCACACAACTAATAAAGGAAAAAGTAGAACTTGAACTCCTGCAGCCTGGCTCCTGGGCCCCGACCTTAGTCTCTGTACTCGATATGTTCTTCTACATGCCTCCATATTGTTTTTCACTTATGTTATCTCTCCTGATCCTCATAAATCAGCCCACAGTTCTCTAGATCAAGTATTATCATTCTCAGGGAACTGAAGATCAGTGAGGTTAATTACCTAGCTAGTAAATGATAAAGTCAAGTACTTGAAACCAGATGTGTTATAAACCATAGAAAAATACACTGGCAGGTGTGCTAACCCAAACAGCAGCATAGGCAAAACAAATCTATAAACCAGGGATGGTACTAATATATTCCCTGGAATGGATCTTAACAGAAATTCGACCTCAAACTCCCACACTGTATACCTGTGTTGATGCTTATAGTTCTTTCTCTAGAGCTGCCATAAAAATGCACTCCTAATTGTGTAGCTTAGAAAAATGGAAATTTTTTGTCTCCAAGTTCTGGATGCCACAAGTCAAATCAAAATCAAGGTATTGCCAGGGCAATGCTCCTCTAAAGGCACTAGGAAAGGATCTTTTCTGGTTCTGTCTCTTAGGTGCTGGTTCTTCCTAGGCTAATGACAATGTAATTCATATTTTCACGGGCGTTCTTCCTTTTCCTTTTTAGGAGGATACCAGGCATATCTGTCTAGAGACTTACCGTACTGCAGCATGACCACATCTTAACTAATGACTTTTACAACACTGTTTCCAAATTAAGGTCACATTTAGTGGGCATTAGGGCTCAGATTTCATCATGTGAATTCGGGTACGGAAGCCACTCTTCAATTAAAGAAACACTTCTAAGCAATAGACATGAAAAGGAAATAAGTATATATTCATAACCTAGAGCTTATGCTGGAACTCTGGATGATTAAATACAAACAAAATCACTGCCTATTTTACAGCTGCAGAGTTTAAGACTGGACTAAGGCTTCTGGGCAGTTAATGGAGGGAAAACCAGGGCCTGTGATGGAGGAAACGGGTACTGTCCACCCTCCCTTCTTAAAAAATGGCTGCACTAATACAGCTTGTTTATTATCCTGTACAAAAGGATGACTATGTAGGCTGAATATATGGCTGATTAAAATTACAATCTCCAAAATCTTTACTCTCTTCTAACTTACATATTTCTCTTCTATGAAAGATAACTGAAATCTTCAGTATTTGCAGTTTGAGAGACAAAGATTCCAAGAAAGGAAGTAGCTGCATTTGAAGTTGCTTTAGGGAAATCAAGCAGTTAGTTAATTAATTACTTGAGGAATTATCAAAGGGAAAAATTATCAGAGCATCGTTGACTTGAGAACTAGAAGAAATCTTGGAGATGATATATTTAAGTCATCTATTTTCAAAGTTGTAAATATGAATCTTAAAGGAGCCCACCATATCAGCATTGGACAAGGCCAGGTTGGAGCCTGAGTCCAGTTTATTGCAATCTCTATCTTGGGTTTCTCTTGTGGTCCTTTTTACTATTAAGTCAATTCACCCAAGGTAACAAAGCAGCAAAAATCTATGTGAAATGAGGCTCACACTTATTTTATTGCCACAATAATTTTTCTTTACAAACTGATGCCACATTGTTAGGAGCAAAAAAATGTGCTGAATAGGGAAATGAACATTGAGAATTCATGACAAACGGCTAAATATTTTTGGAGGGAAAATCGGGGGACGTGTATGGTGGGAAATTAGATACAGGGATTGTAAGTCAGCCTGGATTCTTGACTAGCATTTTTAAGTCCCTTGGAGGATAGAAGAGATACTTTAAGAGTCTGTGATGGTTAAAAGTTTGTAAGAGGACTTTCCAGACATCAAAATTATTAAGCGAACTTCAGGTTTCTTCATTTTTCTTGAATCATTTGTTAAGATTCTCCTCACCAACATTCTTACATAAGGTCTATAATTTGGTAGTTACCAAGGTAACAATATATTTTAGAACAAATAATAAATGGGCCACATCTTTGAAAAGAAAATTGATTTGTGAAATGAAATGTGAAATTAAGCTCAAAGTATATTTCTTCTGTATTACTATGAAAACAGAACTTTTAAAGAAGTTACAGATAAAAATTCAACTTTCTAGAATTTCTAACAATATTATTTGCATTTTAAGCCAATTTTAAGCTTAATATTACCCACCAAAAAGGAGGGTTATTGATAGAGTGCCATTTTAAGTGAGACTTCTTTGCTATACACTGCAATATGTGGTTTTGCTTCAATCTTGGAATACATATCTTGCTATAATGTTTTAAGAATGATACTTTATCCAATTTACTAATAATAAAATGTGTTTAAACTGGTGGATGTTATATAAAACATAGCAGTGTCAGGATTACAACTTCATTTTTTCTAACATTATAAAGTACCTAAATGCTGCAATTTAATATTTAAGGCAGAGCCACTATAGTGCTTGAAAAAGAAAATACTGCATCTGGATGGAACTCTAAAACAGAAGAAGAACATTAGGCATTAAACATACAAAATCCTGTCCAGTGAAATCTAAATAGAGTGTGGAATTCAGTTAATACTAATGTACCTGTGGGTTTCATAGTTGTGGCAAATGCAGAATAACAATGCATAAGCAATAGGGGAAACCAAATGAAGGATATATGACAAAATTTTCAGAATAGTTATCCTTGCAACATTTCTGAAAACACTAAACTATTATAAAATAAATAGTTTACTAAAAAACACAACTACATGTACATGTGTACATGTTTATACTCAGAGCCACTATACATTATATATCTACCATAGAAAAAATGCTAGAGTGAGCCATCAACAACAGACATTGCTTCGTGGGAATCCTAGAGTATTATAAAGAACAATAAATGTATCAGCCAATATTACTATTAATTGGATATTATCCTAAAGAAACTCCTCATTTTATCCCAGCACGTTGGAGTCCAAGGCGGGCAGATCATGAGGTCAAGAGATTGAGACCATCCTGGCTAACATGGTGAAACCCCATCTGTACTAAAAAAAAATACAAAAATTAGCCAGGTGTGGTGGTGTGTGCCTGTAGCTGCCGCTACTTGGGAGACTGAGGCAGGAGAATCGCTTGAACCCAGGAGGCAGAGGTTGCAGTGAGATGAGGTCACACCACTGCACTCCAGCCTGGCAACAGAGCAAGATTCTATCTCAAAAAAAAAAAAAAAAAAAAAAAAAAGAGAAACTCTTTATTTTTTCATGTTTTGTCCCTCAACCTACTACCCACTGTTTCTTTTTCAGACCACCACTGTAATAAAGCTAAATCTGCCTATAGTTTAGAGAAAGAAATACAATAGACTCTTTATTACATGCAGAGCTAGTCAAAACTTGGTGCCATCTCTCCAATTTAATCTTCCACACACCCCATTGTCATGCCATCTACAATTTAATGATTTTCACTTCTCTCAATCTGCCATGCCATAATGCATTGCTATTTCCTTGCATATGCCATGACCTCTGCCTGGAAAATTATTTTCCATTTACCTCTGATTGTTCTATCCTTCAATTTTTTTTTTTTTTTTTTAAATAAAGAATCTCATTCTCTGACCCAGGGTGGAGTGCAGTGGTGTGATCTTGGCTCACTGCACCCGCCACCTCCCAGATTCAAGCAGTTCTATCTCTGCTTCCCGAGTAGCTGGGATTATAGGAGAGCACCACCATACCCAATTAATTTTTTTGTGTATTTTGGAGAGACAGGGTTTCACTATGTCCCAGGCTCGGCTCCAACTCCTGACCTCAAGTGATTCACTCGCCTTGGCCTCCCAAAGTGCTGGGATTATAAGCATAAGACACTATATCCTGGGAAGATTTTGTTCTTTATCTTGGTTCCATAAAACCCTTGCATTTATCTATTGTAGTACTTAACACTTTTCATTATTGCTATTTATGTTGGCCTACAAACTTTGAGAGAAATTAGTCTATTTATTTTTGACTGCTGTATACCTACTGTATGTAAGTGTCTACTACAGAATTAGTGATTAACAAATATATGTTTCATAA